CATGAAATTATTTTTTGAGTCTGATGGAATAGAAACGTGTTCACATCTGAGCACTGACTCTGCTCACACAGGTAACTAAAACCATCTGAGATGCCCAAAGGCATCTGTACAGGGCTGGTGGATATGAGAGGTATATTGGAATGTGCTACAAGTAGCCAAGCTGGGTCCCTTTGTCAGGCTAGGTTTGTAATTGTGAGAGTGCCTCAAACTCTCTCTCTTTAAATACAATAATTCATGCACCCATGGGCTGTTAATATTTGGAATCTCTTTCCGTCTGTTCTCACTACTTCTCTGTCCTGAATCTTGTCTATCCTTGAGGTCTGATCTTGCAGGATCTCTAACCCTAGAAGCAGATCCATTGCTCTAGGGGGCAAAATTGTACCCTCAACCAGTGACTCATGCCTGTTTAAGACTTATATAACAGGGATGTAATGATAAGGTTTTAGCTGCTTTTGAGAAGTGTAGTTCCTGAGACAAAACAGACACTGCCATAAACTCTTCCTACCATCCAGACCTTGTTTTGTAGGGCAGCTGGAGCATAATTCCCAAGAGGTTACACTTGGGCATACCCATTAAATCCATATTGTATTGTTGTTGATAGAGTGTTTTCAGACAGGGTGTAGACTGAACTTTTAATGAGTAAGAATAATTGAGTGCAGGAGTTATAACTCATTTCAGAGCAGCAGCATGACATCTGTCTGTAAAAGCTAACCAGTACTTCTACTGGTTGCATAAACATTTGTTTAGGTATTACTTGAGGGATCTTTTCTGCTAAAGTGTATTTTTTTTGCTAAGTTAATTATAAGTTAAGAAGATCATAATTTGATCAAAGGAGAGCTCTAACTATGTCTGACAAGTCAATAACCATTCCACTATGGGTATGTTTGATGAGTCTACAGTAATTTTTAACTAAATGTCTGAATCACAAGAACCATTGCAATAGAAGAAGGGAAAATCCAAACTAATTAAGTCTTTCTAGTCTAAAAATGAAATTGGGGGAAATGCACCATTTTGTTGAAACAATCTATTTCTCTCTAAGAGATTATTCTTGCCATGATTGACCATTCCCCCAATGAAGCCAGTGATTATGCTATGACTGAAATGAGGAAGACAATATATTAATAAAAGATGAACAGTCTTCTGTGTAGTAACAACTTAGTATTTATTCCATACCCCAGAATTAATTGGGATACAGAAGTCTGGCAAGAAACTGTGTAGAATGTTAATATTTTGTATTTTTTGAAGCAGGACATAAAACAATCTTCTAATCTATCATATTAATTTGTGTGTGTGGGTATATACATATATATGCACACACACACAAATGTATATTTAGCATTTCTCTGGATTATGATGTCATTTCTATCATATCATATTCAGTAAGATCAATATGGTGGCATAGGCCAATCCCTTCAAGACATTCAAAGCTACCCGGTATAAAATTAATAACTGTGGTGTAAAAACCCTAGGTGACTAGATAACAATCCTTTAAGTAAGTACATTTCTAATAATCTGAATGTGTTTCCTTGGACAAAAACTATTATCTCATGGTTTAAATACCTCAGACAAAATTGTAATTTTTAAAATGTATGTTGGTAGCAACAGTGGTGCTCAGTCAGGATTAACATTTTTTTCTGTGGTATATGCCACACAAAGAGGAGTGATGCAGTCATGCTGTCCTTGATTCCGGTCAATGTAATTGCATCTTCAATTTTCTCTCTTCTCTCAGGGAAAAAGACAGAGAAATAGTGAGAAATTCCTGAAAATAGCCACTCTAAAATAAGTTTCACTTTTATGCTGAGACCAACATGGTCTGTAATGCCTTTATTTGATGGAATTTTCTTAAACGGTATTATCTACCATGGAGATGTGTAGAGTTTGTATCAATTCCTGCCGATTAAAATAGAGTGTTAATATAGTCTATTACTATTAGTATAGGTATTAAAACAGAGATAGCAGAGTATTGGATGACACTATTGTGGCAAATAGCATAGTGGATAAGCAGGGAATACAAAAATAAAACAGCATAGCTATACATAATGTCTTGTGGAATTTCAGTTATCACTTACGTTGATTTAATAAAGTTTAAAATTTATGTCTTTACCAGAGAAAACACAGACAACCAAAATATAAACACTGAAATATCGACCAAATTGCTGTCATGTTTACATGTTCTTACTGCCTGGATGTTGTTGAAGGACCGAAGCAGCAGAATAAGGGCTCAGAGACACCATCTGGTTCTCCCAGCTTAGCAAGTTACTCAGTGTCAGCTGAGCCTTCCTAACTACCTACTTGTGGGTGGCAAATGCAAGCTAATATGGTTTATATTAGCTTCCCGTAACTGTGGTCTCAGCTAAGACAGATTGCATTGCATCCACTCCATGCTAAGTGTGCTTCCCTGGACACGTCTGCCTGCAGCAAATCTTTGAGTCAGAGTAACCTGGTTGTGTGCCTGAAGGGATCAGCTGGCATCATCAAACAAGTTTTTCAGTGTTTGCTTAAGAGATGACCAGACAAAATTATCTGTCTTCCTTCACGGCAGTACTCCCTATTCCTGCAACAGAGCTGCAAACGAGCAGTACATCCATACCTCCCTGCCCCAGTGCCAATGAAACCAAACCAGTACAGACACATAGTTCAGGACGTGGCAAAGTCCTCCAAAAAGGTGGAGCAAGGCAGGGCTGAGATCCTTATCCCGCCTCAGCAGCATTCAGCAGACAGTGGCTATGAAAGCCAGTTCACCATGGAGTTAGGAGATCTGGGTACAGCTTTCTCTCAGCAAGACACTTCAGTCCGTGCTTCACTTTAGCTCAGCAAATCATCCCTCTAAATGCAATGAATTCTCCTGCGTGCTCACCCCACATCAGAACACCTCACCGAACACCTCACTTGTAGCCCTGCTGTTGTCCTGGGGTGACCTTGATTAAGCCTATGAGGAGCTCATTGTACCAGGGTGTTGCTGGGGCCAAGAATTTAACCCGGTTCGAAGAAGAATTGGAAACTTAAACAAGTAACGCGATTATCCAGAGCTATTGTAGCTAATGCTAATAAAAACTTTGGAACAGAGGTAAAGCCTCATGCTTCTGGGTATAGGCCAGCCTCTAACCACACTTACAATAGCCTAAGACCTCCAGTTACCTCCTATCTGCTCCCGTTGACCTTCCGTGCACTCTTCTCTGAGCGCCGGCCATCATTAAAGAAGGATAAAAGATCAGATATAATTTTAACCTCATCCAAAACACCAATTTCATGATTTCTTAAATTGCTAAAACCTCTCAGCCTGTTCTTTTTTTAACCTCTGAAATGAGAAATCTTCAGCTTTAGAGGGGAATTGTGAGTGCTTAGAAGTGCTTGGGTATTGGATCCTCTCCGAAAATGGCAGCACTGTGAAGGTAAGATTCACAGACCGCACACTACCAGTATCAGTGATAAAAATCTTGAATCACACAAAGGTAGTGGCTTATTGGAATGAATGGATTTGCTTCTCAAATTGAAGTCTTTTATGATGTCTATAGATAACAAGACTTATCCCTTTAAAATTTTGTCTCCAAACAGAAGCATACAAATGACAGCTTGGTTTCGAAAAGATAATTTAACTTACTGAAAAAAGGACTCATTAAAAATAAAAATTTTCAAGGAAAATAAGACATTTTTTCTCCTCAAATTACCCGTTTCCATTTTGTGTGTGCATATATATATTAACTTTAAAGTTTGAGTTTAAAGACTGATTATAAAAGATTGCATAACAAATGTTCTGAATTCTTTGTCTACTGAAATCCATCTTTTTTGATAGATGACAAAATTATGGTGCCATTTCAGTGACATTTGGGTAAGGACTCCATGAAATAATATTTCAAGAAGTGTAAGATGTGTTTTCATTTCATCAAGATCATCAATACATGTACAAACCATTCATGGGGGAATTTCACAGAACATTAACATTTTGGGGATTTGCTATCAAAACTGTTAAAAGAATCAAATACCTCTAGACAATAGATAGGGGTCTCCAGCTAAGCTGCCAAGTTGAAGCTCTCACTGTGTTTTTCATTTAAAAAATAAGGTCAATCGTGTCAGTGGAATGATTTACTCTAATGTGTTAAATTGTTTGCAAGTTTGATATCACTTATTTTGGAAAACAGAGGACCATTGAGACACTGGCATTCCTATGCTCTAATGCCGTTATGCTTTCATAACTTCTGATTATCGGAGTCATGGGATAAATCTGGATTTTTTGCATTTTAGAGTCCAGTTGTACGAAAAAGCAAAGCGTAAGCTGTGTGCTGCATTCAGCAGATACGAGCATGTTTATCTAAACAGGCAATCACAATCATGTTAATGAAATTTAAAACTATTTAAAACTATGTATGTGTTATAATTTTATTAATACAGCCTTCCTAGTGTGGAAACATGTAAAGATGCTTTATATGGCTACAACTGCCACTTCTAGTGATATAACTGCATTCACACTGACTTACATTGATTAAAATCAAACCACATCCAGAGCTAAAGTCACGTTGGTTTAATTTTTGCGCTTTAATCGGGGCATGAAAACTCTGAAAGGAGATTTCTATGATTTTGCAGTGACTGTCATTTTAAAGATATCTGTAAGCAAGCATAGGGTGATAAATAATCATCAAGAAGACTACTTTTTAAAAAGCGTGCACAAGAGAAACAGTGTCCTTCCAGTGAGGACCGAATCAGGGAACAGGACTGTTGCCTGAATTTTCCTGCAAAGTCTTTAGTAGCCAGACTAATCCCAGGCACACCTCGTGCTGACCTTTGCACACATACACACAAAACTTTCCGGGAGACTTTCTTCCCCGAGTCCCTTCCTTACTTCATCTCCCAGCAGGGCTGCCTGCTGGACCTGGACATCCTGCTTCCATACAAAGGGGAAGAGCCTCCACCTACCTTCCTCTCCTTTCTTCCTTCCTTCCCCAGTCGCTCACTCCCTCTCTGCCCCTCGGGCTGGCAGGATTCCTCGGGCAGAGCATGCAATCAGTTCGCAGGCAGCAGCCACAGCCACAGGAAAGATGCAGAAACAGAATCAGAAGGAGCACCTCTACAAGCTGCTGGTGATCGGCGACTTGGGAGTGGGCAAAACCAGCATCATCAAACGTTATGTCCACCAGAACTTCTCCCCCCACTACCGGGCTACCATCGGAGTGGACTTTGCCTTGAAGGTGCTGAGCTGGGATGCTGAGACTGTGGTACGGCTGCAGCTCTGGGATATTGCGGGTGAGTACAGAGGAGAACCCTTTGCTCGATGACTCATGCAGAGACAATCCAAAATATAAACCCAAATTCATTTTTACTAATCTTTAAGCTGGAAACTACCAATGCCTATGTGGTAAGGGAGAGGAGATTGAGGAGAGAAAACTTTAAGGATAGCTTGACATTTTGGAGTTTCCCTAAAGTCAGCAGACCCACCAAAAAAGGGCGTCAGAGTGAAACCTGCCCCGACTGATTTTTCTCCCAAGCCCTCAGACACATGCGGGGACACGGGCACCCCTCTCCAAATGCCCCAATTCTTGCCCTGCAGCTGCTTCTGTTCAGCATCCCTCATTAGACTAACAGGTCTCTGTGATGGAAGGGAGAGTAACAAGAATTTCCTTTTACAGTTATTTAGTTTAGTGGAAGAGTTGAAGGATTCAATAATTTTTATGGTCAAAATAATTTTTATAGTTTAAAAAAATAAGTAAAAAGTATCACTGAGTTGCTTCATCAAAATATCTTTCTTTCCTTGCTTTCCTTCCTCTCTCTCCTACCTTTTGTCCTTCGGCCCAATGACACATAAACAACTTCTGACATGCTTTGAAAATAGAAGTGTTTCTGTTTGGCAATAATCCTTGATGTTAAAAATGTATTTACTCATGTTTACTTGTCCTTATTCCAACATAAAGCAAAAATCTTAATAATTTACTCTGTGTGAGAGAAGAAGAATAAAGAAGTCCAGTTATCCTTGCATGCTTACATAATTAAAAAATGCAGAATTTGAAATGGTTGCTGTCAGTGCTTTGGAATTTTTATGTTTGGCTCCCAGTTAAACCCACAACTTTTTATTTTTTACTCATTTACTCATTTTTATTCAGTCCATAAAATAAAAGTTTATCTTGATGGCATATTTTGCATGCAATAAACAATCATTTTTCCTTTAGTGTACGTAGGACTCCAAGTACAGCTATAACACAAGAGCTTACAGCAAAAAGGAGGGTGTTTCAAAAACTCAATTAAATTAAGAAATTCCAATTGTTAAGTAGGGAATAGAAGTGAAAGTTATATCAGCTGTTAGGCAACTGTGCCAGCCTGTGGCCTGAACTGTGGGTTCAGTGATCTAGTCTGGAACGGCACTGAGTAAAACTAGTGAAATGAGAAAATTCTTGACATTCTTATCGTCGGAGGGAGTGCCTTTCTTCTACACCTAGCTGCCTCATGTCTGAGCTCTGAATTTGGCACCAAGGTCCTAAAACTTATGCAACAACGCTGCTTTATGCAGAACATGCATAACCTCAGCTTTTTTACACATCAGAATAGTATTACAGTTTTATGATATTAAATATATACATGCCCCGTTTTCTTTGTTAAAAGTTGGAATAATGGGGAAAACATTGCTTTTTATTGCTCACCAGTGACCGATTATAACAATAAATACATACACATCTAGCAAAACTTTTCTGCATGAGAAAAAGCATTTAATAGTAAATTCAGAATGCATCGGGGACTTAATGTATTTTGCATGCCTTGTTTCAGAGATTTATTACACTACTAATCATGTGCTGCTGGATCATATGATGTAGCTTTCAGTCAGGCTGCAGAAGCAATTACACCAAGTTGTAGTACTGAATGACTAGCATGCTTTCTGAGTTATCACACATGACAGAGAGAATTACAGCATAGTACTAAATTTCATATGAATTGCTCAATTCAAAGCATCTCTGTGAAGGTCAAGACAGTGGCCGGTAATAAAAAGAGTTGCTGTCTCAGTTTTTAATGACTCCTGCCTAAGGAGCGTTAGCTGTTGGTGGCTATACATAGCAAATCAGTTCTGTAAGCGACACAATGAATTCAGATCAGGGTGGTACTGGCATAGAAGTTATCACGAATAAGGCATCTGACTGGTGAGAAAAAAAGATGTTTAAAAACAAAAATGAAGCAAAACTAATTGGAAATATGGAGGGAACAGAAGAGTTTTATCCTGGCTGTGGTCGGTCGCATATCACCACTTGCATAACACAAATATGTGAGGAGAAGAGGGAGACAAAATTTCTGGTCTCAGAACATCCTCTCTCTTTTGATAGAATCTCTGTTACTGGGTCGTGTTTTGCTTTGGGGATATAAAGAAATAAATGTATAGTCTCTGACCAAGCTGAAGGGTGTTAGTTTAGCTTTCAGGACATCTTGAATTGAAGCAAACGCTGCAAATGTATCAGTAATGTTTCATATCAGTATTTCTATATAAATATATATTTTAATGTGTGTGTATATATACATCAGGTATCATTTTAGCTCTTACATCTTTTCCTCTTCCTCCGTTACACAGCCAGTGAACTTACTACTAAACGTAATGTGTACTCTTCCTTGCACTTCACTGTGTGGATCAGTGGGTAGTAAATTGTTTAACAATCTAGAAATATTTTTCTCAAAATGGTTTTGAGTAAAACTAGTGTCAAGCTCATCTACATTAGTAGTAGGATTTATATGCGTGGTGACTTATCTGGAGGAGTGACATACTCCAGCTGTGGTAGGACCAAGCAGTTTACCCTTGTTACCCTTACAGACATAAGAAGAAAAAGCAAATTTGGGTTACCAAGTGCCATCTAGTTTCATAATTAATTGTAGGTTATATTTCTGTAACATATTTTTCTGTATTCTTTAATTTGGTAAACAAAGCCATAAGAAAATCTATTAGCTAAATGCTGAAACTGCATTTATTTAGATGAGAGGTAAATGATGGACAATAAGGATAACCAAGCATTAGAAAAAATAATTCAGGGATAAGGTAGGTTCTGCATCACATATTATTACTTTGAGACTTGGAGTTTTTGAGCAGATAATATATTCCTGAAGCTATGGGTGTTAGACAGGAATAATTGGACAAAACTTCATGGTTTATGATTATATCCACAACACCACACTGGCATTAAAATCTATGACTTTAAGTCTGATCCAGGGAAGTGCCTAAAGTTTCAAGTGACTGAATTTTCACTATTGTGTGTGGGAGGAGATATAGATGGTAAAATTTTCCTGTAATTTCCTCCCAGCAGTTCCTTTTTATTTCATTGAATGTCCCAAATTCTCAGTTTTGGTGTTCACATCCCTGTTAAAGTGTGCCATCACCTCTACTGCGGTGTCATCCATCTTTACATCTTGCTCCTTAGAAATATTTTTTTTTTTGTTTCTTTATCTTTTCTGCTGCCTTTGTATGAGTATCCTTTACATTCAGTACCAGATTGGTATAAGGAAAGCTTTAAAATAAACTCTTAATCATATTTTGAACAAGGCTGCTGTGGCAGGGGGGGTGGGAGGGTGGCACCCTGCAGATGCAGGCTGGTCCCACTGTTGAAGAAACAAACTGTTGCAGACAGCAGATCTGGGTATATTTGCTATTCACTTCTCTGCAAGGCTGCTCTCGGTGCTACTGTCTGTGTTCTGTGTCCACACAGCCCTGAGATTTCTCTGAAGACCATCTTTAGCTGCAGATTTACTGCAGGGAGCAGCCCTGTGAGAGCAGTGGAGGGCAGAGAGCAGCACTTCAGAGCCTTCCCCCTCCCCTGCTACTTTTTCACAGCCTTGTCAGCATCACCGTTATCCCTCCCGCTGTGTATGTGTGGGCTGGATTACTCATTGCTACCAAAAAAGATGTTGGTTTGCTTTTACAAGGCTGGTTCTCATCTCAGAAAGAGTTGGACCAATGCATTGGCGACATCCCCACAATACCAGTGGTGAAAGAATGGTTTAATTTCATTTCCCTGCAACTTTCACCTTCAGAAACAGCAGTCTTTGCACAGTTGTGAAGTTTTAAGAGTGTTGTGCTCCCGAAGGAGTAAATGGACTGTTCGCTATTGCCGGGCTCAGCACATCCTTTAGTGGCTGCTAAGCACTGCAGTACATATGCATAAATAAGATAGTCATGGTGATTTCTAGGCTAAGTTACCATGAAATTACTGTTCTGCAAACATAAATAAGCCCCTGGCTGTGGCGGTTTTGTTTCAGTATAGATTAGTGGTGGGATTCATGGGCTTGGTCCCGCTTACAGCCTGCTTTCCACATTCTGGGGTAATGAACACCACCACCTCGAGGCTTGCTTAGGTTTCAGTCCAGAAGGCAATGACTTGAATTCAAGGGTTAAAATTCTGAAAGTTATTTTGAAGAATAAAAAAATGTTTAAATCTTCTCCACAATTTCTAGCTTCTCAGTGCTGGCTAAAGGCCCTCTGTAAAGCAGAGTGGTTCCCAGAAACTTTGGCCACTTAGGATGAGGGATGGTGGCAAGAAGTAAAGCCTGTTGTAAAACTGGGCATTAGCAAGTCTTAATCAATTTTTATATTGCAGTATATTTCAGGTACTGTGGGCGAGATGGTGGAAATTGAGTTTTAGCACTTTATCATTAGTTTTTATAACTTTCTCAGAGATAATAGTGGTTAGTGAAAATTGTAGATCTCTATACAAGTCATGCTGGCAAATTTATGTGGGGTGCATTTTTATAAACTATGAAAATTCGGATGAGGATTGCTTTAAACCCATGAAATAATAAATATCCCTGCTGCAGAAGTGCCACTGAGCCTAGCATAAATGTGCAGGCAAGTGCTGTTCAGAAAGGTAGTCCTTCCCTTTAATGGAAATCTTGTTGCTTTGGCATGTTAGCCTCACTGGATTCACTTCAAAGTGGGGTAGGATTCATCTAGTTTCGCAATTAGACATCTTGTACTGAACCATCAGTGTATAGTTCCTTGCCCTGGGCGTGCCAAGGGGTTGAGGGCAGAGGTTAAAAAACCTCCATAATCAAGCTTGTGTGACCACTCTTAAATGTCTGTCCTTGATGCAAAGATGCCCTCCAGATATCTCTTCTCAGTCTCTGACTACAAAGGCATTGTAATCTTAGATACACCCCGTTCATTTTTCGGAACCTTGTTTAGGGCAGATGAATCCCAGCATAAAGCACCATCTCAGTGGGAACGGCCATCAGACTCATGGGGAGTGATGGCAGGTGCCAGTGGCCTTGCAAGGGATGCAGTAAAGTACGATGAGACAGATCAAAGAAACATTTCACAAGTTTCTGACCCAGTCTCTCTTGCAGTAAAGCAGATTCTAATGTTCAAGGGTCACCTTCCACTGAATACCTGATGGTTGATATGTTTTCTAGCCTAATGACTGCCTAAGCCATTGTGTTGCTGAAAACCTAAGGCCAGATTCTGACACCTTTAATACATCAAACTGCCTATTTTTGTGAGTAATTCTGCTAAATTAAAAAGTTTTAGGAACCTCATATATTAAGATAGGTATTTGTTCACAAAAGGGAGAATCTTGGGAAAAAAGAGTCCTCCTGGATTCTTAGACACAATGTTTAGCTCCCCAAGCACAAGGCAAACACTAGAGATCACTTTTTTCCACAAGGTGAATTAAATAAAAGTAAAGCCATCATGCAAATGACATAAAACTAAGAATCTGTGGTTTGCAAACCACCTCTTTTTCCATTCAAAGTTGCATAATGACTTTTTGTCAAGTATGTTCACATGTTAATTGCAACTGATGTGGAAAAAGACCACTTCAGAAAGGGTTTAGGCACTTCATTCAGCCCGAAGCTCCATTCTTTTTCTTTCTTTGAAGTGACTGATAACGGAAATTGGTAAGCTCTGTCCTCCTGCATAAAGCTGCTTTTACAAACACGGTGGCTTTTCTGTGCAGTGAAAAACCTAGGTATCTGCAAAATCAGCTGGAAGCAGGAGGAGGAATCAGTGTCATAACGTATGTCAGAACTTTGTGGGCCACTACTAGCCAGAAGACCACATCAAAAGGGCCTTTTATTCCTCTAATAACTTTGATTGTTTGAGACGATTATTTTGTGCTGCAAATTCATAGTTTACTTCATGTTCTGTGACATGTCCCACCTCTCTTAGAGAGCTGTGTCCCGATAAATATGTGGAAGTCCCAAGTTTATCTGTTCTTACATCATTTACATCTCATCTATAGTGCAAGTATCTCAAGAACTTTGCATGAGAAGTGTAAATTGCCACTGAAATACAATATGCATCAAAAACTAATTGTATATGTTGCTGTTTGCCTCACTGCTAAGATTCTAATCAGACCTTGACTTGTGTTTGAAGTCACCTTCTTGCAGATGAAAAAAAATATTGCTTAACAAGGAGATTATTGAATAACACATGACTTAGCCATTCATCTGATTAGCCCACTGATAAGAATCATAAGACATTTTAATAAACCATAGCCATAAGAAATTTGCAATATGACCTTATGTTTCCCACAAATTATGTATTTCTATCTTGCTTTGTCAAGAAGACTCAGTGTTTGTTTAAGGTAAAGAAAATCTAACATGAATTTGGAGAAGACAGGCATCCACTTTTGGTTTCTGTATCATGTGAACAACTTTCTCTTTACTGCAACAGCTAGTGCATAAAACGAAAGATAAACATCACAAACAGATGGTGTTGACCCCATAACTATGTTCAGTGCTATTTCAATTAAATGAAACTGCATGGTTTAGAAACTCAGTAATCAGCACTCTTCAGTTCTCATCCCAGCCTTACCTTTGACAGCACAATTTCCATCAGATAAAAACCCTACAGGTAACCTTCCTAGGGTCAGAGGCAGACTGCCAGTCTTGTCTTCCTTACCTACTCAAAATTGGGCACATTGCGAAAATAAGGCTATAAGAAGGTTTCATTTGAATGTTGTTTATTTTCATAGCACCTTTTCTCAGCTACAGAGGCATATAGTTAAATACAAGAGTTGTCTTGCTTAAAGACTGCTGTTGTCATGTTTCAGGATTTTATAGTTCTTTTCTGGATCACAGCTCAGTAGTACACATCAACGGAAATTCTGTTTTTTCACTTCAAGAAAAATTCTGGGTAATTTCCCTTCTTTGAAACATTTTTTCAAAGTTCCCATGAAAACAGCATATATATTAATAAACCCACAGCTGATCAACATACCACATCCTGACGTCAAGTGTGTTAATTTTTACACTGTTAATCATACAAAATGATAGATATTTACAAATATCCATGTTTGGATATAATAATATATTGTTAGCTCACAAAAGTACTGTAAATAACTTCCTGGAAAACACTTTGAATTCAGCAAATAAAAACCACAAAGCTTCTGAACAGATCTAGTGTGAAACGCCCCCTCCCAGATCTTTTCACTGGACCAATACAGCTCTTCATATTGCTACTGCTGTGCTTTTTCTTAGAACATTTTCCATCTTTGTAAGGCTTTAAATTCACCTTTCTCACCTCTGTGTTTTAGTTTGCCAGTAAAAGTAAACTCATAACGACTCTGATGTCTGGTGTGGCTCCAGAGTTTAGTTACCTTACTGTTGATTATTACCACTTGCATGAGAATGTGCAGGATCCTCTTCACGCCTGAACAGATCGATTGTGTTAATTGCTTTCCACAAAATATCATAGTATCAAGGAATTTCCAATATGGTATCTAGATTTTTTGTGACTCCTGTGTTTAAGGTCCTACAGTGTACACCAAGACCCTTGGTACTGGCCACAGGTCTAGAAATCTGGCAGCTTAATAAAGTTCAAGCTTGTCATAAAGTTATTAGATTTCCTTGGATGTTTACTTTAAAACTCCTTTTTCATGCTATACTCTCTTGCATTTTCAAACAAATGTGTCTAGGATGGTACTTATCATTATTTAGACAAAGAGAATCTTTCCAGAGATGAGCAAAATGAAGTCCTACTTTCAGTAAGGCTCTCTTAGAAAACCTGCTCTGTGAAATAATGACCTAGATTGGAAGCAGTGATTTTTACAAAGTTTTTTTCCCCCTCCTACTTTGTTCATCACAGGTCAGGAAAGATTTGGAAACATGACCAGGGTATATTACAGAGAGGCCATGGGGGCATTTATTGTCTTTGATGTTACAAGACCTGCAACATTTGAAGCAGTGACAAAATGGAAAGAAGATTTGGACTCTAAGCTGGTTCTTCCAAATGGCAAACCTGTGCCAACTGTCCTCTTAGCAAACAAATGTGACCAGGGAATAGATGTTCTTATGAACAACGGCATCAAGATGGACCAGTTCTGCAAAGAGAATGGGTTCGTGGGCTGGTTTGAAACATCAGCCAAGGTAATGTTTCCATTTCTTTTTCAATGTTCCTGCAAGTTCAGAGAAATTGTTTCCTAAAATAGTTAAGTCGGTCAAAATGTGTACCTTGCAAAGTTTCTCTCTTGGTGGAATTAATTAAAAGTTAGTTTGTAAATTAATACATTTCTGTTCTGAAATGCAGCTGCCCTAATATGATAGGCCAGCAGTAAAGTATGTAACTGGTCAACAACTTACTGTGTAATAGCCTGGGGAGGAAGATGACCGTTGTCAAGGCACAAAAGCTACCTCTTCTGAATGACATGAGGATATTTTTCATAATTCTGAACAATGAATAATATCTCTAAATATTTATGTAATTGCTTTGCCTGAGAAGTGCTGACTTGAGACAGTAGCTTTGTTGTGCTAGATTCCAGAAAAAAATGTCAGTCTACCCTAGCGCCTGTATGATGCTTACTGTTATAAGGTCTCAGTCTGAAAAACATTTTCAAAAAAAATCTGGGGAGGAAGGAAAGAACAGTAGTTAAAGTGCCAAATGAGCTTCTGTGAGGTTCAGTTCTTTGCCTTGGTGCAGATTTCCTGGGTGCCCCTAAGAAAATTGAGGTAAAAGTCAAAAAAGGGCACTGGGACTTTCAGAGTATGAAGACCCAAGGTTCAGTGGTCCTGTGCATCGATTTGAGATTTCTCAGATAATCTCAGTGCATGCAACATTTGGAAAGCTGAATGGCATGTGGAATATTGACTTGAACACAACAGTTAAATGGATATTGTGTTTATGGTATTATTTGATTATTAAAGCTGATGTCATCATTAACAGCTCTGAGGAATGTTTGGATGTTTTAAATGTGAACAGTTTGTCTCTGGTTTGACCTAGACTGTTGGTAGACTGAAAGCCAAAAAGCTACATTCAGTTGTTTAACTTCTGTTAAGCACTTTATGAAAGTTACTCAAGAACCTGTGGACTGCATACTTGTGTTTTGCTTTTCTGGTCTTGACTCCTTCTTTAAGCATTAATATTTAAAAGAAGTCTCACTTGTAATCAGCATAAGTAACAGGAGGTGACTAGCAGCAAGTTCTAGACTGCCTCAGGCATTGCATGAACTCTGCGCTGAGATTGTGGCCTTTCGGTACTTAAAGAAGGCTTATAAGAAACATGAGGATGAGGTTTTTAGCAGAGCCTATTGCCATTGGACAAGAGGTAACAGTTTCAAACTAAAACAGGGTAGATATTTAGGCTAGATATAAGCTTTTTTTTTTTTTTTTACAGTGATGGTGGTGAAACACTGGAACAGGTTGCCCAGAGGGGTGGTAGATGCCCTGTCCCTGGAAACATTCCAGGTCAGGTTGGACAGGGCTCTGAGCAACCTGCTCTAGTTGAAGATGTCCCTGGTCATGGCAGGGGGGTTGGACTAGATGACCTTTAAAGGTCCCTTCCAACTCAAACTATTCTGTGATTTTATGATTCTATAATTCTATGTCCTTGTAGTCAGTGTTTTTGCTTTCCTATTGAATGGGTCTCAAAAATAGTCACTGTTTCTTCAAAATCCCATTTTTAGGAAGAAATTTTGGTCTAGATCAGTGTGCAAATTATCTTGCTCTACAGACAGGGTACTTCCCGTTCCTGCATATAGAGGACTTAGCTTGAATTCAGGTCTGTGATTCTCTGCTGATTCGTGCTGGGTGAGGCCATCAGAATCCAGTGTTCCTCTCTAGGATAACCTAAATTTTTCTACGGACAGTGTCTAGTTCTGTTTTAAGAAAGAAGCCAGGATCTCTTACATCAGCTTCTTCATGAGAGTTATGGCAGAAAGCTAACTATTCTAGAAAAAAAAAAAATAAGCAGAGAGTTAAGCATTTGGAATGGCAGCTGTCAGTAGAAGATGTGGAGAGTCAGGAGATTATCACAGGACAAACTGTTACTATTTGTATAAGGATTACATAGTCTCACCCTTTCCAATATTCTATTAGGTGCCTAACTGTCTTTCAGGTCACAAATAACATGAAATACCTGGTTGTGGGTATTTGGGATGCAGGTCACAAGTGATGTGTAACACTGTATACAACTGTTTTCTTCAGAATTACTTTTCCTTCATTTCTGACATGTACATGAGTCTACGTTTCCTGAGGACAATAACTAATCCACTGAAAATTGAGGCCTGAGGGCAAAACCACTACTAAAATCATGTGGAGAGAAATGAATAGGAAGTTGTTTTAAAATGCCTTCGTCTAAAAGACTCTCAAAGAGAATGAGAGGGAACAAGATGGAGCATTGTTTAAAGGATACAGGGTCATAGTTTCATTATTCTAGGTTTGGATTAGCAAAGTCCTGCAGCTGATCACTGCTCTTTGGCCCGTGAGAAAGGAATTTGTATGAATTCCATACATTAGCTCCCTGTCCACCTCTTAAAATGAATTATGCCAAGGGCCATTTCAGGTCACAGCAGAGAATGAATTTACAAACAATTTCAATGGTCACAGAGAGGTTTCACCATGACGATGGAGCCAGTCTTGGGCGGAACTATGGAAGTATAAAGGACATGTAAAGTTTAGAAAGTTCACAACAGAGTAAAAGTTTTCCAAATTTTCCTAAGCCACATAGAATTAAGATTTTGAGTTATTTTAAACAAAGGAAATATCTAGATTCTTCTTACTTTATTTAACTCAAAAACGCAAGCAGTCCTCAGGCTACTAGTGTAACGATGTAGGAACAGAAAGAAGTCCAGCTATGACAAGACTTCTCTTCAAAAGCCACTGTGAAGGGAGCAGTGAGAGTTGAGGACACGTGATTCTGTTATCAGACTGTTCTCTGCTGCTATATACTAAAGGCTAGGATCTGTTATTCTGGAAACCCCACACCTGATTTCCACTCAGAATTGGAGGTTCCTGACTTAAAAAGGTGCAAAGAAGAGTAATTCCCCTAAAGATGCTTGAATCACAACGTTTAGACTAACTTAGATGAGGATAATTACCCCACTTGGTCTAAATTTTGAACCAAAATCTATGCATGTTTTTTGAAACAAAAGTTATTATTACTGCTATTTTAAAATATTGGATGTTACCTGTATCTCATATTCTTTCAGCCTAGGGCATGTTAAATAATTGAACTTGGGGCTGGGGAAAATAAAAACCTAGGTATGTTTACTGTAGAGAATAGAAACTCTTTTCTGAAGCAGAATAACACTGACAGAGAAGTCATCATATTGCAGCTAGCAGTTTTAGCAGTTCAAATAAGTAATAACCCTTTTTTTGTGGTATCCTGGAATAATTAGATCTCCAGAGGTTTTCTGGAGATGTGCTTGGAAGTGTTATAGCCTTCAGAGCAAACCCAGTATGATTTATGCATTTTGGAAAAACAAAGGTGATTACTTATAAAAATGCATCTTTTAGTTCTGGTTGCTTTGCAGAAAGTAGCATGCTATATAAGTGCCTGTCATATTTCATACTGTCAATAGTTTTAAATTTTTGTCTGTAGCACTGGCAGATTGCACCAAAAAAACATCACTGTATTACTCCCTGGTACTGTTTTTCTTAAGTTAACAACTTCAATATAAAACATTTGAGTCACCTAATGCATTCTCATGTATTAGTTTTGATTCTTACATTAATCTAAAGGAAATACTCAGCCTGTTCCACTCTTCTGCTCCCTACAAAGACAGAAGAATTTGTTCTGATGGTTTGCCATGTAAAAAGGGCCTTCCTGGGCAACAGCACAATGCAGCATCGTCCTAAGTCCACAAATTTCCATATATCCAGTTGAGAACCTGGTCTCTTTTGCATACAGTTATTTGATTTGTTCATATTATTGAAGTCTAAAAGGCACATCCCCAGACAGTCACGAAACAACCCTTAATAGTAAATTCTTTAATAAATTTCATTACCACAAGTATTGTGAAAGATGCATTTTCTTTAAAGGAAGGAAATTTCTTCTTCCTGTCACACATTTAATTATCCAGCATGTGACCACAGTAGCTGAGAGCTCCACTCACATTTCCAAGCCTTTAAACTGTTTTCATCACCATTCTTGGTTCAAAGAGGTGAGCTTTTTACTTGGATTAGAAAAGCAGCAATTTCAAGCTTATTATCACTTTAGAATGAAAATGGAATTTATGCATCAAAACAGACAAGTCAGGCAAAACAAAATGTGCTTGAAAATACCTGCTTCAGAAATAACTTGAAATACCTAACGACTGACCATAAACGTGCTGTGACTATGCCTGAGTACCTCTCTTCCCTGCTGTGATTCTGCTGTCAGCAATACAGAGTTAGGTGAAAAGACATTCTCTTTTTGTCCAAACTGCCCAGAAGTGCCAGTAGGCCGTGCTTTCCAGATCCTTACCAAACTAGGCTAAGCTCCTTGTCTGCTGAACGTTGTGGTCAGTTATACAGTCACTCTGTGCAGAATCCTCTGCAGAGTTTGTTCCCTGTGACTGAAAGAAGAGGAGTTACTTCAGATCATCCTACAGGTATTAGAGCTGTCCTGTAGCTCTCTGGATCACTTTTATGAAATATGATATTTAGTGCTGGCCAAAAGCTGGAAATTCACAGAATCCCAGAACTAAGGTCAGAAGGGACCTCTGGAGGTCTTTTAGTCCAACAATTTTTATTGCAGAATATCCAATCACCTCTAAGAATTCAATTACAGAAGTTATCTTTTCTCAGGGTTGCAGTCACAGCAGTTCACGTCCATGAATTTCGTGATCATGCATTTGGATGGCTTTTAACTTGTATGTACAGCAGTACAGCACCACATCTTATCAAGACTCTGCTGCCAGAAGTTTCCAAGGGAGCTCTGCTAAGGGAATATGTGGAGCCATTCCCTCAGATTCCTTGCTTCAGGGGAGTAAAGGTTAAAACATCTTGAAAGTCATATCCCTGCCCCTGGATTTTAGTGCATTATAGAAATAAAATGTGGAAAATATGTGATTCTCAATAGGTTCTCATATAATAGCTGAATATTTCAGAATTTGTAAACATTTACTTAAGGGAAGTTGATTTCCTTTAGCTCCAGTAGTGGAGTCTAAGGT